AGAGGGCCTTGGGGCCCCCCCCCCCCCAGGAACACTGAAGAGTGCACCAGCTTGAAAAAGGACTCTTAGTGGACTTGCTGGGCCTGAGATGGTCCAAGATCCCAAGAAAATCCTCTCTAAGCCATCGCTGCTGAGCACTCTGGAGGCACCCAATATCGGTCACTACCCTAAAGAAAAACAAACAAAACAAAAGTTATCTGGTCGGAACGCCTCCTGAGGTAAGTTTGGTCTGTAAGAGGTGCCATCTGATTTGGACACAAGAGGTGAGGTCCGATGCAACCATAGATCCTGTGTCCAGGATCTGTGTGAGATGTCACTGCAGGTGTATGAATGTGTGGTGGCCACCCCTGTTTGTCGTTTCGTTACTATGTGTCTCTCTGTCAGTTCTGTCCTTTGAAGAAACAGATCTAAAATGAAAGGGGAGTAAGTCATCCCAAAACCACAGCTACAGCTACCCCTAGGCAGTGCACTAATTCCCTGCAAGCTCACGGGAAATGCCAGGCAGCACTGTAGTGCCCCTGCTTCTGGAAGCAACTGTGGCTGTGCTTCTTAGCAGCAAGCTCTACTGCTGCTGTAACTATGTGTGTGCTTCCAAGCCTTGGTTGTAATCACCAGTTTCCCTGTAATAATCAATGGCTTCTTCTGGTACAAGACCCCTTACCTTCGTTTAAGACCTGTGTCCTCTTGTTGAAGACCAAAATCCTTTGGGCCTAAGCGAGTTGCCCTGAGAAACCCCAAACCTCTGCCTATTCCCTCAGCCAGGAGAAGGAAATAATTCCTAGAGCCAGGTGCTTGTTGCACAGTGGAAGGAGGAAGCTGAAGGGACTCTAGCCAACTCAAGCATGGCAAACATGGTTCTGGAAGGCCATGTCTTTCTCCCCCACTCCCTCTGCCATGCTAAAATCTGTTAGATTACATTCCTAAACCCAGCCACCAAGGTCTATGCCATTATTTGGCCACTTTCTTTTCCTGAGGCTTACTACCAAGTTCCAGCTATCAACATATTGAAGTCCAACAATCAAAATGCCCTTGTGGCTGCCCTAATTAACCTGTCCAATCAAATCAAAGACCTTATCCTAACAGAGTTTTCCTTTTATAAACTGCCATTTGCCTATGGACTATGTCAGTCTCTTCTCTATTCAGAGGCAGTCCTTTGCCACCCTCATCCCTGACAAATATTCCTTCTCCCTCTCTCGTGTTCCCTTCCCCTTCTCCCTTGTCCCCTATCTTTGTCTCTTATTCCATGCCCTTTGTCTCTCTGGGGCCAAAAAATCTCCTTCGTGCTGAGAACTTGGTCTTGGTGATCTTGAGCCAATACTGGTCCCTTCAGAAGTAATTTCCCAGTACAATGTGTGGAGAGTGGTGGCAGATATTTAATAGGTTTCAACTTATGGAAATTATTCAGAAAGTTTACAACAACTGAAATTCAAGACAAAGACAAAGGGGGGAAGAAACTCTCCCAAGAAGTGATCCCTGCCCTTGGGGAAACAGACAAGAGAGAAATATTGGAGAAACAGACTGGGGGAAGGAGTTCAGGGATTCACCAGCATCATTTGATGGGCCCTGAGTGCAGATCCATTGGCGGTTAAGGGGGAAAACATCCACCCAAGCAGCATGCTGCAGTGTGCAAATGGCCTCCTCATAGCTCTGACCACTGATTAGGAATGTAGACAGCTAACAGAAGCCATTTTAGAGGTCCTTCAGGCCCAGAGGGACAGAGTCTAAGCCAAGAAAGCTCATCTGTGCATCCTTCAGTACATAAACTGAGGCCACAACCTAGAGGAAGGCCTATTTCAGCCATCCTGAAAAACCCCACTCTCATATCAACCTGGAG